CAGAATATTTCAAAGAATATTTCTACTTCAATATAAAAATTGTCTAGATTTCTATATTGTATGTTGATAAAAATATCTCACAATGAATTTCAAATCGATGAAGCCATACAAAGATATGTCTTTGTTGTTTTCAACTTTGTGATAATTTTTGAGGGTTTCCACAAGAGTATTGTTTACTTTGACCCTTTGCTTAAATTATCTCCTGTTGGAATATCGTAGAAACATATTAAAATATCAACTTTATCTTGAATAAGTATTTAAAAATTTGCATAGATTTCACGTGGGTTCAGCGTCAATTCTGCCGGAAGGAGCGACCTTTAGTTCTATAGATAAATTTCCTCCCGGAAACATTTCTATCTATATTTTAGCTACAGATTTGGCCTAACACCATTCTACCAGCTAAATACATCTTTGGAAGATTCTGAAGATTTCGTTCGATCCCCTGTGGATTTCAAGATATAAAGTGTGCCCATACTAACGAGGGCCATTAGCTCGAAACCATGGTTTCTAGGTGACGCTTTTCGGTTTGCTGGTATCGTGGCTTTGTTATCAACCCGAATCTGCTAGTTTGCGAGGATGGTCAATAATTTGCGTTAGGTCTTAGCGTCTATTTTCCCGAGAAAGGGGACAAAAAAGCATATCTTGACCGCTTAATGAGCATTTTAGATCGCAGAGCGCCAGCTAGTGGAACAGAAATCAACTAAACGTCGATTTAGCTTATTACGTGATATTTAGCGAACCCATTTTTTTAAAATAAAAAAGGTCAACAACGTACGCGTTTCGTGCTATTCACCCTCGTCAGCGTGGTGCAAGATGTACCATTATGACTAAACATTCTGATCCTAGAGGCTTCCTGAGAAATCAAGAAATGGGTATTTGAGGGAAAATCTGCGTAAATACGCTGTTCAGGTGTACCTAGAGAGGCAGCTATCCCTTTAAATTTGCATCATAACATTTCATAATTTTTCCACCCCAGCATAAAAATATACTAGTAAGATGAAAAAGAATGAGCCACCACACCAATTAAGGATATTCAGTCAAAAAGCGAACCTGTATACCTCGGGCCATGGCCCTCATCAATACATCGATCACAACTTCGATTTTGAATATTCCGAAATTGTTCACAGAAATGTGTGCAAACAAAACAGATTTTTAAGATGCCAAATCAATAAGCCGATCTTACCAACTTCCAGAGAAATATTTCATATCTTCTTTTGGTATAAGCAATATAATATAAAAATTGAATTAAGATATAAAGGAACAAAAACACATTCTACATATGAGCACTGAAAAGCATACAACTTTCATATAATCTCTAGGAATCTAAAGAGATAAAACTCACTTCTTCCCTCAAAATTTTCTTCTTTATAGATGAATATCCTTCCGCCAAAATTTCCATCTCTAGGAATATACATTTCTTCTCTCTTTATATTTATTATTTATTATTCTAAAAGTATATTAAAAATCGATTGCAAAATTTGTGGACAGACAGACAGACGGACGGACAAACAGGGAAGCAAGTTAAATAAAAACTTCAAAAAGAAATATAGAAATTTGTTCATTCCTGGCCATTCCGATCACCCAAAAGTCTGAAAATATGTACACTTACATTGTTCATTGGGCTGAGTGAGTGTTAAAAGTTTCATACTTCTACAGAACTCGGAAGTTTATCAAAATTAAGTTAAAACATTTGAAAGTCAATTTGAAATTTTGTCCATATCCGGCCACCCTGACAACCCAGAGGTCTGATAATTTGTCAACTTGCATTGACATCGGGTTCTGGAAATTTTACCAAATTTCAGATTTCTACGAGCTTTAAAGGTATATTAAAAATCGAATGCAAGATTTGTAGACAGACAGACAGGGAAGCAAGTTAAATAATAGCTTTTAATAAAAACAAAGGACTGCCTTAAAGAGAAGCGATGAAGGCAAAATTAATATATAAAGGTTTGGGTCAATAGAAATATAAAAAATATTTTCTCTATTTAATACAAATATATTATTCAGTAGGAGACATATATATATAAATATATATATATATAATATTTCTAGACAACATTTTCAGAATTGTGGATGACAGCTGAGGAGGGAACCATACATGAGAATTTTTAGGATAACTAATATTCAGGTTAGAATTTAGTGGATTAGGTTTTATATGAATTTATATTTTTAGTAATAATTAACTTTTGAAATATACATTTTAACGTTTATTTCAAATAGCGTTAGAATGGTCAGGTTTGTAAATAAATATTACACACCCAAATACAGATTTATCAAGACCACAGGTCTCATAAATATTCACCACAATAAGGAAGCATGAATGGAGCTCCTATACTCCAGACAGCACAGAGCTCAACAGCCTCCAGGTTTGACATATGTCCAATGGCTACAGATTCCACCGTGCATACGTCAAGGTTAGCGTATCACTGAAAAGACGAGTGTGAGATCAGCCGCGTTCACTTCACTTTCCTCATCCAAAAGGACCACGACATTTGACGATTCTATTAATCTCCTCCAAACGGTGACTGCGGCCTTGTGGAATTTATATAAACCAAAGAGAAGACCTTGATAAAAATAAATCTATTGTTGTTTTGTTAGTATTTACGTAAATTCTCAAAAGGTACGCTGAGCATCTTCATATTTAATAGTAGCTCATTGTTTAAGCTTTAGTAAATAAATTTGTAAATACTTTATATAATGTTTAGTCGTGTGTGTGTGTGTGTGTGTGTATAATTTTATTGACAAAATATGATACTTGAATATGTAGATTCAAGACGAAAGTGCTTATTCGTTCCGTAGCAAAATTTTGAACCTAATATTTTTGTTCCATGTAAAATCGATCAAGCGAGTATAGAATTAACAATTGACTAAATGTATCAAACCCGTTTATCTAATTTCAACAAAAGAAACATATATAAAATTTAACTCATTGTGCATATTTATTTTTAATTTTATAAAAGATTACTAAATTCCATTATTATTTCCAATTCCATCCAAAGACAATACCTCTGTTTAGCATAAATTCATTTCGTGAATAATTCACTAATATTTTGCATATTTACATTTTAAAATATTTCTTAAAACTTTCTTCACTCTGTATATTGTTTTCCCCGAATACACTACAATTGATTTCATTTAACTAAATTTGTATAACAACCCTTTGTACATATTTCAATTTTGTTGATATTGTTTCTCTTTTCATCTAACACTAAAATTGCATACTAATTCTTGTACATATTTCAAATATCTTACTTTCTTTCTATGTTTAGTTTACCTTTAAAGTGCAAGTGTCTCGAATGGAACAATAGCGCTCTAAGTCGAAATAAAATTAAATGAGGGAGAAATGAGAATATAGCAAGATTCAGAAAAAAAAGCGGTGAGTAAATCTACTCTAATAATTTCAACGACTAGTTGTAGCCAATAAGAGAGAAATAGGCACACTCATACAGTTAGTAAATAAGATATAAGTTTATAATTTTTAATAGAGAGATTTTTTAAATTACTGAATTAAATTATGTTGCGACCGAGATTCTATTTTAACTTTAAATATAAATGAATGGATTATAAGGATACCCAAGATAGTGGACATTGCAACTGCTGTGATAGAAATGCATGGGGACACCTGAGGCTCTTTATTGGACACGACAACAATAATGGATTGTAAGAGATAGAAGTTTCATGAAGAGCATTGACTACTAAATATGTTTAAAACATTGAAACTGACTTCGATGGAAAAACCTATCATAGGAAATTTTAAATCATATGTTTCTAGAAGGAATTAGATATATGCAAATCAGGAATCATCTGTTAAATGAGTCTTTTGAAATTATAAGATTGCTCTTCTGAAAAAGAAAAACACATCGGAAATGGTAGATATTTTACCTGAAACAGTAGCTACAAATAGGTTTATTTATTGCATTATACGTTTCTTATAAAAGCAGGCTTTTCGTTTAATAAAAAGCATGCACATCAAGTTCGCGATTTAAGAAATTTGTATATTTTCTATATTTCAATAAGCCAGAAGAAAATTTCTGCTTAGTTCCTTCAGCTCTAAAATATATGGAAGTATAGAGAGCGGTAAATATTTCATAAAATCATAAGTATATTCACTAAATCCATCAATAAACCATATCTTAGTCCCGGTATTAGAATTACATGGTTGTCCGAAAAGTTCGTAAAAAACTTGCAAAAAAATTGAAATATCAATATTATTCGCCGTTATGTATAAACTAGCCGAATGACCCGGGCAACGCCCGGGTTTAATCCGATTAAATGCTTTTATTCAAATACCATTCGTTACAATTATAAACTGGCGCCGTGGATGTCATTCTTGTGAAACGTCCCGCTCCAAACTTTGTGTCTGAGAAGCGATATTTTTATAAAGAGATGATCTAGCTTTGTGTCTTCTGCTCGAATGCATGTTTTTTTTTCTGTAAGAATTTTGTTCCTGCATACTAAAATTAACTGGCTTCACCCGTGGTCTCTGCTTTTTGGAATCTTTCCGGATATAATTTTGTATCTGATAATCAAATATGATACAGCAATATTGTCATAATCATTTTCTGACTAAAAAAAAACCAACTATTATTGCCCAGAACCTGTCGATTTCAATTTTTCTTGGCTAAAAATTCGACAAATATCTCTTCCATATTTTTTTCTATGTCCTGTTAAAACACGTTAGGTCAGCTGATATTACCTCACCTCTCATCTTCACAGCTAGAGGCGCTGCTTGCGAGCGAAAGAGCAAATTTGCAACTCAAATTTGCAAATAACTCGAAGAATATTCGCGATAGAGACCTGAAATATTCAATATAAGTTTTTCCAGATTCTACTATACATACTGCTAAAATTTCAGTCATATTAGTTACGTATTTTACGTATATTACGTAAAAGCATTTCATTCACAAAAGCAAACGATGACAAAATTGATGACTCTGATACTGGTATATTTTAATAATAATAATAATATAAATGAGCTTTAAAAATTGTAAAAAAAAAAATTCATCGGCCGGGAATCGAACCGGGGCCGCCCGCGTGGCAGGCGAGCATTCTCGGCACTGAACCACAGATGCTTATAAAAATGGCCATATTTGGGTATTTATTCCATTCACAAAAGCAAACGGTGACAGAATTGATTGATTGTTGATTATGAATCTGATACTTGTATATTTTAATTCTTTGTATTATGTATAAAGTAATTGTATTATGTATTATTATGTATTCACCTTAATAATATTATTCTCGCCAAGTAATAAGAAAAACAACCTTTAAAAAAAACACGAACTTTAGGACAATCTTATAATGTAGGATTGCTATAATTTTATACGGCATTTTTAGAGTTGTTAGATATAATTGAGTTTACCTAAATGTATGTTAAAACTAAGGGAGAAAAGAGAGATAGTGAACTCGTGGAGACATGATGAGATGTGTAATTAGAACTAAGATGTGATCAACATGTGAGGACGAGATTGTTAGAAGTTCCCGCGCTAATTTGTCCATCGTCTGCTGAGGTAGGCGGCAATCGTCTGATTGGGAAAAATGATTATTTCCATAGCTGGCAGAAATCTACGTCTGTAGATCGTATATCTAACTATTTTATATATATAACCCCATATATTGCATTTTAAAATTATATAATATTTTATTCACAATTATTTAAAACTCGTATATGCTGTTCAAAATTATTAGAGTAACCGTTTTTCAAGACTATAGATTCGTCAATAATTTAATAGTAACAGATCCAAGTATTTTAATATCCAGTAAAGAAATGTATATTAAATTTAATATCTTTTGTAGATATGTTTTGAATTATATAGTAACAAATATATTTTAAGAAACTGATAATTTATATTATGTTGATTGTAGATTGCCAGACATTTCTTTCGTTTGTACACAGTTTTCTGTTTTCGATGTTTTCTCTCTATCTCCTTGTTAATATCATATGGCTATTCTTTACGGCCTAAAATTATGGTAGATATTTATGCATAGACAAATGTAAAGACATACATGTATGGCAGCGTAAGTGTCCCTAGGGGGACATAGCGCTTTAAATTGAAATAAATAAATTCACATTTAGAGGTATAAATTTATATCGCATAGGTATAAAATCCGTTTTTATTTCCCTTTGACACTATATCTTGAATTTTTATATTGAAATTCCAAGTAATAACCATATAGATAAGTTGATGGTGGTTTCCTGGCAGGTTATCAAGGTTTTTTTTAGACATTTAAACAAAAATGTTTGTCATTTGTAAATCCTTGCCAAAAGGTTATTTTAAAGTTTCCCTGAGACCAAGACGCACAAAATATTTTTGTCGAAAATAAAAACTGCTCGAAATGACTTTCTATTTTAAAATCATAGATTTATTTATATGTATTATGTGAATAAAGAGATGTAAGAATATTTTTATTTTTTTATTTTTCGCTAATATACTTTCCCACATTAAAGCAGTGAAAATTAACTATTATTGACGAATAAAGTTATTTTGAATGTAGTTATGCAAAAAAGAGGAAAATAGAGGCGATTTTTAAATTGATTTAATTCAGTTGATAGAAAAGATATAATATAGGTGAATACTCGCCAAAATCATTTAATTACAATACTTTCCAATATCTATTTCCATAGAAAACTACCACATATTGTTGCACCAAGTTGCAGCTTTGCAGAGCCGTCGACCTTGGTTTCTTCCTTCTTGGTGTTATACACGTTTCCCGAGCGGGTTTCCATAGTCAAAGCAAATAAATAAAAGTAAATGAATAAATAAAATTAAATAAAATAAATTACCTTTTAAATTTATTGCGTTTATTTATTCGTTGTCTTCCTCGTAGGTCGCGATCCGCAGTCTTGGTCCAGGTCCTCTCTCACTCCAATAACCAATCAAGATATATGTACAATAAATATTACAAAAGGAATGAAACTATTAGAAGGAATGATGATAATCTAAATAATCTGTTTTAAATAAATATTAAATATTATAGAATATTTTGAATAAATGTAGGACGCATTAAAATTGATGCAACATTTCCCCCTCTCCAGAGGTTGTCACATCCTCGTGAATGACCTCATCCATTCTCTCATAATAAGGCTTGAGTTTTGAAACATGAACTATCAGAGGGTCTTGGCCCGGAATATCTTTCGGTTCTATTAGATAATTGACGCTAGACATCTTCTTTAATATTCTATATGGACCAAAATATTTTCTCAGAAGTTTCTCACACTTTCCTATTTCCCTAATTTGTGTCCAAACTGCTACTAAATATCCTGGTTCGTAGCTTCTTTGCATGTTTTTCTTGTCATAGTTATTTTTCATTCTTTCTTTAGTCTTTATTGTGTTGTTAATAACTAATTTTCTTGTTCTGTCTATTTTGTCTAAGTGATGTTTTATGTATTCATCATAATCATCCTTGTAATGTCCACCGAGATATTCCTGTCGTCCAAAAGGGACGTGGGTTCTCTTCCAAACAACAGAAAAAATTGATAATATCCTGTGGTTTCCTGAATTGTAGTATTGTAAGAATGGGTGAAGAATGGGAGTATTTCATCCCAATTCTTCTGATCAGTGTTCACATACATACTGAGAATATTAATAAATGTTCTATTTAACCGCTCTGTCACTGCATTAGTCTGGGGATGATAGCTCGTTGTGAAGCAATGTTTAATCTTGCCAATTTTCATCACCTCTTTCATTAAATTACTGGTAAATTGAGAGCCCCTGTCACCAATAATGTTTTGGGGCTCCGTGCCAGAGAAAAATATCCTCTACTAGAAATTTAGAAACTTCTTTTACTGTTGCTTCCGAGATTGCTCTTGTTTCTGCATATCTAGTGTAGTAGTCCGTCAGCACAATTATCCATTTTTTCCTGTTTTCGTAGATGGCAATGGACCAACAAAGTCAATTCCAATTCTTTCGAAAGGAAAGTTGGCTGGGGGAATAAGCTGTAGTAGTCTCGAAGGTAGTTGGTTTGATCTTTTTCTACTTTGGCAAAGGTGACACGTTTTAACGAATTCTGAGACATCCTTTAGCATGGATGGCCAAAAGTATTTACTCTTTATTCGGTACATGGTTCTGGCGACACCCAGATGGCCATTCAACATATGATTGTGATATTCTTCCATATTTTCTCTCTTTTTCTTCTCTGGACCCACAAGCAACCACGCCCTGCCTTCAGGGTTCGGATTTTTCTTAAAGAGGCATCCATCTTCTTCTTTAAAGTTTTGCGCAATTGATCGCCTGCTTCCATTAAGGTTTTTCTTAACACTTTCGATAAACTTGTCCTCTTCTGTTATTTGATTTTAAAATAGCTCTAATAATCTTCATCCCAATCAGTTTCTGGTAAGGGTCCCCTAGATAAGCCATCGGCGTTCAGATGCTTCTTTCCTTATTTATGTATTATATCGAAGTCATATTCTTGGGTTTTCAACGCCCATCTTGCCAATCGACCCGTTGGATCCTTCAAGTTTTCGAGCCAGCATAAGGCGTGATGGTCTGTTACTATTTCAAAGTGTCTTCCATAAAGATTGGGCCGTAATTTTGACATTGACCAGACAACAGCCAGACATTCTTTTTCGGTGGTTGAGTAGTTTTGCTGCGCTTTACTTATAGTACGACTCAAATATGAGATCACCTTCTCTTCACCACCGATGTCTTGGACAAGTCTTGCACCTCTGCCGATGTTGGACGATCAGTATAAATATAAGTAAGCGCATTTGGATTGAAGTGACCTAAAATTGGTGGACTTAATATAGCTGTTTTCAGGGTTTGAAACGCTTCCTCTTGCCTTTCTGTCCAGGCAAATGATACACCTTTTTTTAATAAGGTTGGTCAAAGGATCAGCAATTTTTTAGAAATCTTTGATAAATTTTCTATAATATTGTCAGGATGACAGAGTTTGCTGGTATTCCCTCTAATCTGGACTGGACCGACCGGTCGGGGTAAACAGTGGCGCCACGGAAAAGTAGGAAAGATCTCGGTTCTTCCTTCTTGCTCTAACGGCTGGGTCGATTTGGCTCATGTAAATAGTAACTCTTATTTTATATTTAAAATCTCTCATATAACTCATTAAATAATTATTTAAAGTCCGCCTGTCAGACAGCGTCCTTATAGAGTGTCTCCCGCCGAAAGACGTGTCATTCAGAGTAAAGTGGAGAAAATGATGGAGACTAAAATCATCCGGCCATCATCAAGTTCATGGGCCTCTCCCGTTATATTAGTGAGGAAAAAGGACGGCTCGTTGAGATTCTGTGTCGACTATCGTCGTCTAAACAAAATTACAAAGAAAGATGTTTACCCTCTCCCTGGTATCGATGACGCGCTGGACACCCTCTCTGGATCCAGGTACTTCTCCACTATGGATATGAGATCGGGTTACTGGCAAATCGAAGTAGACGATAAGGACCGGGAGAAAACGGCATTTATCACTCCAGCAACTTTCGAGCGAATGATAGACAACGTCATACGGGGATTTATTGGGACATATGTTTATGCTACTTAGACGACATTGTAGTCTATGGATCGACCTTTGAAGAACATTTAACACGTCTATGCAAAGTTTTGAGATGCATTGAGCAGGCCGGGCTGTGCCTAAATGATAAAAAGTGTCATTTCGCCTCGAGACAAATAACTATCCTCGGGCACGTCGTTAATGAATTTGGAACGCAGCCAGACTCAGAAAAGGTGAAAGCCATTGTCCACTTTCCAAAACCCCGTAATATCAGTGAGACCAGAAGTTTTCTTGGGTTAAGTTCGTACTATAGACGCTTCATTAAAAGTTATGCAAACAAGTCTCGACCCTTGAAGAGCCTTTTAAAGAAAGACGAAAAATTCATTTGGGGCGAAGAACAAGATGAATCTTTCCGGATTCTCAAACAGGAATTGGGATCTTCGCCTGTGTTAGGACATTTCGTAGAAGGTGCGGAAACTCATGTCCATACTGATGCAAGCGGTTATGGTTTAGGGGCAGTTCTTTTTCAAATCTAGAATGACGCGGAGAGACCTATAGCCTATGCCTCGCGAACACTAACCAAAGCGGAAAAGAATTATTCCACTACAGAAAAGGAATGCCTCGCAGTTGT